ATGGATGCCAGCAAGCTGTCAAGGATGCAGATCTGGGTCCCTGAAGACAGCAGAGCCTCCACGGTGAGCTAGATGCCCTACGTTTAGGTAGCAGAAAACCTATTTTCTTAAATGTAGCCTTGACTTAGTGACATGCAAAACCAGTTCAAGCCTCGTCCTTTGGAGACTCTGAAGACGACCATTCTGGAGTTCCAAACCTTTGCTCCTGCACACTGCCAGGAAACTCGCAAGCCCATCGTTGCATGGCACAGCAGTGGCGACTCATCTCTGTCCCTCCCCACATGCCAGGCCTCCTGAAAGTGAGCCTGGCCCTTACTGTTTCTACAACCTGCCCAGAACAGCCTACATGGACTGGGCATGAAAATGGTCTGGCCAGTGGGCTGGTGACCAAATAGGCACTGTCACCAAGCATTTCTTCTCGGTTCTCACGCACATTCCCACCATAGTTGGTCCAGGCAAAAGCATTTCTAGACATGCTAAGTCAGAGCCTCAGGCCACTAGAGTTTTTAAAAAGCCTCAGGACTCAGACTAATATAAAAGACACTGAAGTGCACAGTGGTAGGGAACAAGGGTGTGAGAGCCACAGGGCGCCTCCATCAGGTCAGAATGAAGCACTGAGAAGATGCCCTGAAGGAGTGGACCGCTGACTCCAGCCTTGAGGAAAAGCAATGTGCTGCTGGACAAAGATGACAAGGAGGGCAAGAGAGACTCAGGCAGGCACACCCCCTGTGTCCAACTCTGAAACAAACAACATTAGCTCTCCCTGTCTGTTGCTGCCTATCCTCTGTCAGAGACGGATAAGATGCTTTTTTTTTTTTTTTGCCTCTTCCAGCACGCCCCAGCTTCTCAGATCACCCAGAGATCCTTAAGGTCGTCATGCAGTTTCCTGTCTTTGTGCTATTGCTCATCCTGTCAGAACACTGAACCCGTCACCCACGGGGTCAGTGAAGCTTTTGCTCTCAGGAGCACCCCTTCCCCTTTCTGCACCAGCCTCCTCCCTGGTCCTGCCTCCTAGGCACTGACATGCCGGCTTAACTGTCTTTCCCACTAGATGGGGGCAACCTCAGAGAGCGGCCAGGCTTCTGCTATGGTTCAGTTTGTTTCCCAGTGCTCTCAGGAGGTAGCGAGACCTTCAGCCACTGTGGAGTGACACAGGGCCCGAGACCCTTTCCTTCCTTTCATCTCTGGCCGTGACACCAGCAGTTTCTCTCTATGACATGCTCCCTGCCATTGTCACCCAACACCCACAGCCAGAGAGCCCAGCACCAGGGTAGCAGAAGACTGGAGCCCCACCGAAAAGAACTTCTCTCTCTCTTTCTTTGTTTGGTTTCTCTGTGCAGCCCTGGATGTCCTGGAACTTGCTCAATAGACCAGGCTGGCCTTGAACTCACAGAGATCCCCTGCCTCTCCTTTCCCCAGGCTGGGATTAAAGGTGTGAGCCTCCACCACCCACCCTTTTTCTCTTTCTGAGTTGACTCTCTCAAGTGTTAGCATGGGAAACTAACAGATCTTAATGACCTTTGTCCCAGAGGCCTAGCACAGCACCCGGGATACCAGAGTCCCTCAATGATGAGCGCCTGCTCAATGGGTTAAGAAGATGGGGTTAAGTATATGTTACTAATAGGACTGTAACAGGAGCAAACTGACAAGAATTCTCTCTCAGGACTTCTAATCAAATGATTCAAAGCTCTCTGCCAGCCCCAGGCAACTAGAGCTCAGGCTAGCCTCTCAAGGGGTCCCACTATCCATCAAAGATGAGAGCAAATGCTGGAGTCCAGTACTGCCCCACAAAATTTACACTGGCCCTGCTTATACCTCAGTGCCCCTTGGTGCTTTGTCCCTCTGGGCGGGAACAAGACAGCTCAGCACCAATCACTGAGCTCAGCATGAAGCAGGACCCAGAACCTATGCACAGGGCCTGTGGATGCACACACAGAGCTTTGAAGCAAAGTCAAACAATGAAAGCAAAGGGAGAAACAGAGTATCAGATTTCTTCTTGGATGCTGGCCTGGCTTTTCTTGAGCTCTGCCTGACCTTCTCTCAGGTCCTCAAACACTGGCTCATTCTTCTCCTAGGTGACACCGGCTCCCAGTGTCACCTCCTGCCACTCTCACAAAGCCTCCTGACTTCCTCAGCCCACAGTAATTTTTCTCTTTTCTGTAATCTTATAGAAATTTTTGTCAGTATAATTAATTTTGGCATTAACTCACAATGTCTGATATTATTCTCTTTTTCTTAAGAGCCTGTAAAATTCTGAAAGATCATGCTTTGAAGAGCTCCCATAATTCAGAGCTGAGCATCTAGTAGGTGCTCACCACCGAACTGTAGTAGGTGCTCACACACTGAAACACAGTGCCTTCTGGGTGTTCTCTTGCTGGCATTCACTAACTTTCAAGGTCAAACACACTCACCAGAAAGCAAAGATGGCATAGGAGGTACCCAGCGGCCATGGCCACTGGACCAGGTCAGGAGATAAAGGTCTGCATATGCCAGCTTCTCCAGGTGTTCTCAAGAGACCCTAACCCTGACACAAGAGCATCTGGGGCTGGGCCGAGGGAAACCCATTTTCTAGACTTGGGCTCAGAGGTGAAAAGTCCTTAAGCAGCTGAGAAATAGGAAGGAAAGGGCTGCTGTGGATCTAGGCATAGAACCCCCAGGAACACGCATGAACAGAGGCCATAAATCCCTCCCAGACGCAGACAATGCCTCGGTGATAAGCATGCAGATTGCACACCTAGTTCAGAAACTCCCCTGAGTTTGCTTGTAATTAAGGGGGTTAGAGAGGTAAAAAAAAATATATATATATAAACCCAATTAATCATTTAAATATTTAAAGTCAGATTTTTTTCCTCACTCCGGGATTAGTATATTTCATAACGCCAGCAGCCGACAGCCCTGGTTTTTACTGGGGTTCATTTTAGAGCATGTTAAACTAGTCAGATTGAGTGATGCTTCCAGCAACTAATCGCATGTCAAATAAAAGATATTTTATGTAATAAATTACCGCTACAAGTAATTCAAATGTCATTTATCAGTTTTATTATCAGTCAGGCAAAGTCTTGTTTCTCTATATTAATCAAAATCAAGCTTTTTTTTTGCCCTTTTTTTTTTTTGAGCAGTTTTGACACCTCTTGGCAAAAGTACAGCAGTGAAGAGCAGGGACCCCCAGAGCTGAAAGGAAAATGTAACGGTACGCGAAGTATGAAGCTCGATGGTGACAACTGAAAACTCCAGGATTAAAAATTATCATCCCCATTGTTTCTGTGCTGGTGTCAAAGCAGGAGGAAGCCTACCTCTAAGAGATGTGTGTTATTGCAGGAGACTAACAGACTCTAAGCCAGGAATCTTGAAGGAGACTGCAGACTCAATTGCTGCTGCTGGCCAGAAAAACTAATAGTTAACTCTTTGCGCTCCCAGAAGGCAGGCAAGCTTATGATGTTTGATGTCCACTCTGTGACCAAGCAGAACAATTTGTTCCGAGCAGGAAGTTTTCAAGTAGCAGAGAGACCTGTTTGGTATTAAGCAGTGGGAGGAAACAGCTGGAACGCAACAGATGTGCTTAGACAAGTCTGCACCCCAGCTGCCACTGCCTATCCTCAACAAATCCTATTAAATGGCTGGGCTCAGGGACACAACTCAGAAAAGTATGGACACTTACTTAGCCTTTGGTTAAAAAGTATGTTTAGGGTCCAAAGCCTATACAACAGATCGAGAGGATTTGGACTGGGAAAGAGAAATGAGTCAGTCCCCTGCTCATAAACGGCAGAAGCCTGTTCCTGGGGTCTCAAAGGCTCAGGCCAGATACAGAGGGACAAGAAACATGGGTGTATGTATTCTGGCTTCGCCACTCAGCTTTATCCAGAAAGCAAAGGTCTCTCTAAATACAACTTGTGATGCACACAGCAGCCTGGCCCCCACCTGACGGCAGGAGAGAACACCCTACTGGCTGTGTCTGCTGGAGAGAAATCACCTACCCAGCTGCAGGCAAGCCAGGAGAAAATGCTGATAAGGGAAGAAGGAAGAGGGCTTCAGTCCACGAGTTCTGGGACCAAAATGAACCTGTCACTTTAATTTTTTTTTTTCTTTTTAAGACAAGGTTTCTCTGTGTAACAGTCCTGGTTGTTCTGGAACTTGCTCTGTAGACCAGGCTGGCCTTGAACCCACAGAGATCGACGTGCCTCTGCCTCCCAAGTGCTGGGATTAAAGGTGTGCACCACCACTGCTCAGCTGAACCTGCCATTTTTAAAAAATATACCCTTTAAAATCTGGTCTTGAACTCTCTTAAATCACTTTTTGAAAAAAAGTAAAACTTCTAAAGAATGAAAATGAAGACAATTTTAGAAAAGACTTGAAAGACAATAGAGCCTCTGCTGAGTTATGGAAAATCGAGGCTGTTTCTTATGGCTTTGGAGATAACGGTAACTTTTTTAGAATTTTCCACATGACTTACAGAAGAGGTGATGTTCTTGTTTGCATGGATGCATAGCACTGTATGTTACTACAGCAACCTCCATTTAAAAAACAAACTCCCCTCTGCCAAGATCCCATGTCATCATTAAAGGACCTTTGTACTTAATCTGAAATCACCCGAGACTCTGTCACCACATGAATGCACACAGTGGAGTCAGGACAAGGGAGTGAAGGCTGACCCAAACCTATGAATATTCAGTTTAAAAATAAAATTAGGAGCAAATTACTTCCATGGGCAGAGGAGAACCCACTCACTCCCATGCCTGTGTTAGGGAACTGGCGCTCAAAACCACTGGGTAAGAAGATGGTGCAGAACTGATCACCATGGGACAACACAAAGGCTGGCTTCACTAGCCCTGAAACCTTTGTCACATACTTACAACTGGCTCTAGACAAACACAGGTGTGCCGGGTTTTCCTAGAAAAGTCAAGCTCTCCCAGTCTGCTGTGGTGGGAGCGGTGGGGCCCTGCTCTTCCCCAGTGTCCTGAGTCCCAGTCCCAGTTCAGCAGGACATGGAACAGGTGACTTACTGTATGGCTGCGGGATGAGGTGAGGGGGCTGGATAGGAGCCACTGGCGCAGCCAGGCCCAAGGATGGAGGCTCATCTGTGGCAGTGCCTGACTGCTGGAAAGCCAGGTCAATCTCGTCATCTGTCAGTCCTGGGGGGAGAAGAGCAAAGGACACTGGTGAGGACCTTGCCGGCATCCACACTGCAGCAAGCCTTCCTTTGCAGGAGGGCCTGACGGCCACGGAGTGCCTTGCATTCAAGTCTGCTGCCTGCTCGATTTCGGATTCTCGGGAACCTCTCTCAGCTGCAATTTAACCTTAAGCGACAGAATATTAGCCTCAACACTGCTTCCAAATGTGGCTCATTCAATTTCCTTAATTTATCCTTGAGTTTATTGCTGCCTTTGAAGTCGCTCCATACTGCAATTCTCCATTCTTCCCCCGAAAACAGATACCATCAACTGCAAATGTGGCTCATTTTAATCTGTAATGGTGTTAAAAAAAGAGGGGAAAAAACTAACAATAATGCATGAAAACAGACAGGGAAACAAAAAACTAATTATTGGGTGAGACGACTAATTAGTCTAGATCGTTTCCGAAGACGGGAATAATTTGCTTTATTTTATGACAAATGCAGAAATAAAAAGAAAAATCAGGACTGACTGTGATTAGTATGAATGGGATATAGAATGTAAAGAAGAAAATAAAACAAGAAAACAGATCAAAACAAGACCAGGCCCACACTTTTGGATGATTATTGCTCTACCCTATCACGGGCTGCCTGGACTGCCCTTGGCTAGTTTCTTTCCCCCCTTTCTTTAATCTTCCGACACTCTAAACTACAGTGCACACAGGGCATCAGGAAACCGCGGGCGCCATCTGCAGTGGCTACGGCATGTGTAAAGGATTTTCCTAAGAAATGGAAGGCAAGTGAAAGCCCACCAAGACCCTAGTCCCAGAAGGCTGAGCACACAGAGAGACTGACTGGGTGACTACTGGTGACAGCACCGACCAAAGGACAGAATAGCAGAAGGGAACTGTGGAGCCCACAGGTGTGCAACAAGCGTCCCACAGGCCCCACCCAGGAAACAATGCTGTGTGCAAGAGAGCCTCTGTGGCAGCTGGGAAAGCGGGTAAGAGGTCACCGCTAGTGTGACAGCTCGAGCTGGTCCAGGCTGTTCCGGGAATCCCAATATCCACTGAAGCCGCAACACAGAGCTTTTAAACCTGGGCCGAGAGCTTTTCCACATCTGGTCAGCAGCTCTCCATTAGAGGCCCACAGCATGGTATACTTGCCCCTAGGGGTGGGTGAAGTACAGGCGGTTCTGAAGATCAGCAACTTCAAAGTGTGGTGCCTCGCACACTGTGCCTGGGGGCTAATACATGGTGCGCATTAATGCTTCAGAGCGCAGCTCTGCCCTGCATCACATAGCTCTGCCCTGATCACATTGGCCTGAGTGGACTCCCACCGTCCCTCAGACTGTTCATGCCCTACCGCAAATGGTCAAGGGAGTGCCTCGACTATTCCAGCGGCCCTTGACCTTTCTCTCAGGTGCTGCAGCAGCACTTCTAGCGGGAAGCAAGCGAGCACTGCCGCTGTCAGTCTAGGGAACTGCGGGAGCATTTGCCTGGAAGGGGGTAGGTGATAACATAACAGGGCATCTCAGACCGGGCTGGACAAGGTGCCCCACTTCTTGCCTCCGTAGCTTGCCACAAATGAGTTGTCTCTGCCCCAGAACAGGGTTAGGACAGACAGACAAGCCAGGCAAAATCGGAGGACACAGTTCCGTACAGCTTATGTCTCTCAGGCTCTTTCTCCTGTCAGTCACTGCCAAGTGCTCATCCTAACTAGGAAGGGGCGCTCCTGTCCAAGTGCTGGAAGGAGAACGCTGCTGTACCAGTTCACAGGGAGAAGGGAGCAGCACCTGCGACGTCAGCACAGGCTGCTGGTCACTGGCACACCATGGAATTCTAGAGACCTGGTGGATCGTGTGCCTTGTCAGCTGCTGGCTGCAAATGAAGATAATTTTCCCAAAAGGAGCATTCAGTTGCAGTCTCATTCTCCCTTTTGGCTCCTTCAAATATAAACAAGTACGATAATGTTCAACGCTGGGGAAATATACAGCAAGTTGCAGGCTGTGCCTCAGCCTTGCGAGCTAGAGCTGGTTAAAGGAACAGGACTTAGTGTCTGTTGTTCTGTTCTGCCCTCTGGCCCTGAGCTTTCAGGAGCCTATTTTCCTAATAAAACACACCTTGCATTGCCTCTGCCACCCACCAGTGAGGCGACAGTTTAAATGCCGTCAGCACTTCCTTCCAGGTTCTTGCTCTCAGAGCCCTTATCATCTGATGCTTTAAATCTATGCTGGCTGGAATTCTCCCTACCTAGTTCTCCAGGAGAGTCAGCATTCTGATTCCATTTCAATAAATGAGTCATTTTTCTTTAGGAGGGAGGGAGGGAGGGGAGAAGAGAAAGGAGTATAACTTTAGAGTTGGAAAGTTCTCTCAGCCATAGCCCCACTCAGCAGATGAAAAGCCAGAGGCAGGGTGAGGACTGCCCAGATTAAACTTGTCCTGGAGAGCAGTGAGGCAGATGACAACCAGAGTTACAAATGCAGACTCAGAACTTCAGTCCTGAGTCTGTCCAGGTTTAAAGAAAGATTCAATTCCTTTCTCCCCTGCCACCCTGAACCCCATGGAGCTATAAAAACATGGGGTTTTAAACCCCCGCGTTAGAGCTGCACATGATACCTGGATAACATTTTAACAGCACCAGAGTGACAAACGGGCATCCATGTACTTCTCAGGGTGTCCCCAGCTCAGGCAGCACTGGCCAGTTTACAGACTCTACAGAGCCCGGTGATCCACCTGGGATGCAGCAAGGCCAAGCAGGGGGTCCCTCACTTCTCCCAGCCACTGGTTCCTGGTACAGAGATGCCCCTACCTCTGGGATGAGTTGTTGCCAGAGGGCCCATGCATAAACACTCAGACCCAGATGCCCTAGTCCCAGCTTTCCTACTCACCCACAAGATAAACAATGCAGATCTTTGATTGAGACCTTGCAGAATCCAAAAGGTTAAAAGGACTAATAAAGGAAACTGCCAATTGTGAGTGAATTATACTCTGCTAGCCCAGGCACAGGCTATATTAGAAAAGGCATCTCCGTGCGCTGTTTACCGTCACCCTGACTAATGCAGACCTTTTTTGTTGTTGTTGTTTTAAATAATCTCATGCAAATTAGACACACACACTTCCTTCCAGTTGATTGCTATCTGTGAGGAATAATCTAACCTCACAGGGACTGAGCCAAATGGTTGAACAGAGCAGAGAGCAAAGGACTTTGCCATCCTGCGAGCTAGCGGCAAGCAAGCCACCTGCACCCTCCCTGCCTTTGGAAGCGTTAGTTCATTTTGATAAAGCTCATATTTTCCTCTTTGTTGAGGAGCAGACTGCTGTTATCTGACACCACTAGGACCTGGCATTTTATCTTCCCTGCAGTAACTTTCCTTCTACCACAGGGTGATTTTTCTAGAGTTCCAGTCTGCCCCCTATTACTGGTAAAGAACCACTCCAGAGAGTCCTGTCACTCACTCTCTCACTAAAAGGGAGGAACAAGAGAACCATCCAGGAGGAAGAGGAGCAGTGACAGGAGCTGTGACCAGGGACAGAGAATGCTGCTACCTCACCTGCAAGGCCATAGTTGCCTAATCTGCAAAAAGGGAAGGTCTCGGGCACCTTTTTGTTCCCTTGTGTCCCTCCAAACTGCTTCCACTGCCGCCGGTGCAGGCGGGGCTGAGGATTTCTTTTCCAGCACTTCTCCACAGGGGCTGCTTTTAGAAGAGGGAAAAGAGGAGCAGCACCCTGTGCTCACAGAGGCAGGCTGCACTGCCATCCGAATTGACTCCTATTTTTATCTCCTACCAGATAAACAAACCTGTTCTCTTTTTCTAAAGGTTTCTATTAGAACACAAACAAAGCCCAGCACACAGGGTGAACATCATGCCCAGCCTTCATTTCCCAAGACTCAGGCCAAGCCCAGGACCCGGAAGAGCGATTTTCTGTGGGACTGGCTGCAACTCCACATTAACTCCAGCGCCTGCCGACTCTGTGGAACATGACAGACGACAGCAGTGTTCTCTGCACCGTGCAAGGGCAAACAACCAACGGGGGCTAGGGACGGGTTGAGAGTACGCAAGGCAGTGAGTCCAGCAGCACCTTCCAGTCTGTTCTGTGCTTTATGATCGCACTGCAGAGAATGAAAGGAACGTGGGAGGAGGAGTGGGGGGGGGGGTCAGACCCCAGGCCCACACCCAAGGACAGCAGTGAAGGACCCAGAATTCAGATCATCTTCCTCCATCCACAGCCCCTCCATTTCTGATTCATCTGGGACTCTGGAGACTGAGCGAGGGTCACCTCTCTCAGAACACAACTAGTTATCTGCCTGGCACATTCCAGAAGGAGATGAGGCAGGAAGACAGCTGGCTAAAGATATTCCCCAAATTAAAAGAAAAATCAACTCTCTCGGAATGGGTTCGGGGAGGGGAAAGGGAAAAAGTATTTTTATTTTATTTTATTAACATTTTGTTGGAACAGTAGAGTACAATAAGGACTCTTGGAGCCTCTAAAAGTCGTTGGATGACCTGTGGACCCCTATTTCCCAGTGCCTTGTATAAAATTGAATTTTTTAAACATAAATTACACGTAATGACGACACTGTAAAAACTAACAGTAATGGAAAGCTGTGCTGTATTTCATTAGCCTGTATTATTCCGTGCCACCTGATCCAGCCGGGCCTTGTTTATGAGTTAGTGTGCTAGCAGATGCCGATGGAAGCATTTGCTTCGACCTTGCTCTTCTCATTGGGGCATGAAATTACGACGGCAGCACCTTGATATTACAGCCATAAATACAGTAAACTGCAAATTTAAGCCAACGGCTCCTATTGTCTCTGAACATAAAGCTGATCGGTATTTATTTAAAAGGAGAACAAAAAAAATATTATATATCACCTTGTTTATGGGGCTGCCCCACCCACTCTCTTATCCCCTCCCCCAGGTCCCCAACCTGTCTAATCTGCTAGGTTAAAATATTAAGCAAATAAGCCAAATACTTTCTTCTCTGCTGATGACTATTCCCCCAAGCAACAAAAATGGTT